TCTCTGCCCGGACGCCAGCGGCGGGCATGGCCCCGGGCAGGGGCGCGCGGATCAGGCCGGTATAGGGACACTAGCGCCTGAGCAATCGCAAAGGCCCCACCAGGGCCGCTCTTTCCTCCTTTGCTTTTGATTTTCTTGGATTTTGCTGTCTTCCCCCTTCCAACAGGAAATCTGACAGCCCCTTGCCAAGGAAGGGCGGGGAGAAGGACGGCCTTGCTCCCAGCCGGCTGCACCCTAGGCAGGCCCAGGAGTTGCCCGTCCCCTTTAGCTCCCCTTGCTCCTGGATGAGAGTTCTGGAGCTGGAGAAGGGGCTCTGAGGAACTAGGCCTTCATTTCTTACTCTCCGCTCCTGCGCCTTAGGGATCCATGCACCCTTATTCCCTCCTTTTCCTCTTGCATCAGGGACCTGGGCCTTGCAGACAACAGCTGAAGGCTCATCTCGAGCGGACCAGGACTTTGCCAAACATAGGCTCTTGCCGCTGCCCCTCCCACACACATCACGCCTTGGGTCCCAAGGGCCCACTTGCAACGGTCCACGCCTGCCTGGGCTCATAGTACCCTCTCCAGCTCGGCGCCCCTTCCTGCCTTTGAACCCAAGGAATCCAGAGGCCAGAAACTACAAGGAAGAACCTACTGAAGAGCCGCCCTGAGACTTGGCTGGAAAACCAGACTGGGACCTACTGCCTAGCCAAGCGCCCCGGACTTGCCCTCCGCTGTCCAAACTGCTCAGAGTTGAGATAGATACAAATCCAGATGTGGAATCTCTCCGCCCTCATTCCATAGGCGCAGAAGATGCAGGGCCCCTGGCCTAGCGGGCACCGAGGGCAGCTCCGCAGGACCCAAGGCAGAAGGGATAATTGATGGACTTGGTTTCCGGGGCGCCGGACAGCCGGCACTAGGCTGGGGCGCCCTCTTTCCTGCCTGTCCTAGGACTGCTTCAGGGGCTGCTGCCCGCAGTCGCTCCAGAATCGGAAACAGTTGTCTCCCCAGACTTCAGAAATCCCGAGTTACACTCGCCGCTGTCCCAGGCCTGGCAGTCGCCAGATTGGACATGAAAAGCCTGTCCTGGGCTGCTCTCTTGCCTGAGAGGTGTGTCTTCGAGATAGTTGACTTTTACAGCACAGGGATCAATCTCGTTTTGTAAAATGTGATATTGGTCTAATGGCATTTTTACGATAGTGTTTGTTGGGCTTGTAAAAACCCCTTGAATTAGCTTTAAAATCCTCAATTCTGTGGAGGTTGAAGAAAGACTATTTATATGATTTGGTTGGATTTCTGGAGACAGTTTCTAGGATCTGTAAAATCCTGGCCGACCTAGGCTTATGGGGTTCAGGACTTGGGGGGGGGGGAAGGGAAGGTGGCAACTGGCGTGCTCTGGTTGGAATCTGGTAACAGCTTCCCTGATCTCTTTCTTGCTTTTCAATTTTTTCGTGACCGCCTTTCCTCCAAGAGAAAAAAAAACATGGGAAAGGACTGGGCTAAGGACGGCCTCCATACAGGCCACAACGACACCCTTGAAGGCGGCTGTCTCCCACAGATGGGGGTTGCTGCGAAGGCTGGTCCTTGTGTCCTAATCAATCCAGCCCTGGAAAGTTTTTCTTTTGCATATAAAGGGCCTGATAGGACACGATAGAATTTGGCATTTCCCTCATATTTTTTACAGGAAAAAGATGCAAGAGGTAAAAAGGGAATTTTAAACAAAGCTGTGCTTGAAGAAAATCATGTTTGAGTGGTTTCTTAAATGAAATTGTCCGATGACAGTGATTTCAAACAAGTTATGATTTAAGATGAAAACAACCATTTTGGGAGGTGTTGGTAAATGCTTACACTTATCATTTCTTTCATTTCTCTGTATCTCACACAGTGTTGGGACGGATGTCGGTTTACTACTATTATTATTTGTTCATCTTTGACCTAGATTCTCCACCTCATAATTGTGCCAGCCAGTGAGAGAATTTGATTCTTCAGCCAAGAACCAGAAAACATTCTATTTCTAGCTTTCATAGGCATTAAGATGGAAGAATTATATTAAATTGAAATCTTTACGCGTTAGCCAAGGCTGGTGCATATCATGTTGGCAGTCGACCAATTTATTTCTCGAGCCAGCTATAAATATATATATAGAGAGAGAGAGAGAGAGAAAGACAGAGAGAGAGAGAGCCATTCAGGCAGGAATAGCCCCAGATACTCCAAAGAACCTTTCCTGGGGAGGTGAGAATGGCCACTCCAGGGCTCTACTGTCAAAAGCACACAAAAAGCCGACTTACCTTTCAGCTTCTTTCCAAGGGTGACAAGAGAACAGCAGGGCCCCATAGTCTGCTCTTGCCCTGGGTTGCCCATTGAGCTCCTCCACCTCCACCATCCTGAAGGGCAGCCTGAGGATGTGGGTAAACCTCGCAGGCCACTTCATTTCAGTCAGATCACCAGCCCAAATGAGAGCCCAAAGCACACAGGTGCGGCCTGTGCCCTTCACAGGCCCTCGCCTGGAGCCAAAGCCCGCCTTCCTTGCCATAGCAGTCCTTCTCAGGGCCAGCCAGGCCTGCAGGCCTCAGGACTACAAGTGGTCTCTCCGATTTCAGAATTCCGAAGCCAGTGCCTTCCCAGAACCAGCGTGCTCCCCCAGGGCGCCTTGGGACGCGCAGTTTGGACAGAAGCAGCCATGACGTGCCAGGCGGCCTATGCAACCAGTCTCCATGGTGCTGGGTGGGGGTGGGGGAAGACCCGAGTCTATGCCGGCGCCCAGCTTCTGTGGGAGGTGGCCGAGGCAGGGATAGTTCCTCGCCAGCTAGGTCCTGGGAGAAGGCCCCAGGTCCCCTATCCTCTCCCTCTCCTCTGTCTGCTGGGGAATCTCTGAGGGGCCCGTACAGCAGTCGCGCCAGGCTGCCAGAGGCGGGCTGCGGCTGGCGCTGGTCCCGGC